TTATTTAAAAATCCATGTTAACTGATTTGAATGTCCTTCAAGAATATTCTTGAAAAATCAATTTATATTAATGTCAGTGTTCTTCAGAAAATATTTTAAAAAAGTTCAAATTTATTGATTAAGAATATATACACCTTTTTCCCGAATTGTTTACACTGTGAGACAAAATCGAGGTGATGGTCTGGGGGTAAAGATTTCCTATTGGCAATGAAAGACCTGTGTGAGTGTATGAAAACCCGAAAAAATCGCCATAGGTTCGGGGATATAGCGTAATAATTTTTTGGGTCCTTGGGTCTAATTTTATTTTATTAACCGGATTCCAATTATGAGATGAGATTTTTCATCCTCGCAATATTCTACAAAAATCTTGCTCAAAGATTTTAACAGAAATTTTCTGAAAACAATCTGCACATTTATGATCGATAATTTAACGTTTTAATGTTTTTTTTTTCTCAAATTTACTTAGTTACTAAAACCCTATATATATGGACACTTCCACAGTCACTTACACTACTTTCAGAGGCAAAATCAAACATTAAATGTTATATAAATAAAAAACAAATTACGCTTTTTAAAATTTTTCCTAAATACTTTTTGAGGTCAAATATTTCTGCAGTGTCTGCATTTATAGTCATTAAATTAGTATTTATGTTAAGAACAAGAAGAAACCAGTAAAGTCGGACTGGGCCGACTATATGATACCCTTCACCACTTTGGGTGTATTGAACATAAGTATGTATTCTCACAATTGCATGTTAATGTTCCCTCGAAGAAACATACTCATGTCCTTCTCCAACCTATGATAAATTTAATTTCATTCAGGCAGATTTAGAGTCGTCTGCGTACCATGGTACTAATTTATGAAAAACGAGTTATAGTAAAATTGATACACGCTATTAAAAATTTAATTTCAATCAGAATGCATCTGTACCAATTTCAACAAAACACAGTAATGTCATTCAAGTCTCAATTATATACTTTGGGCAAAATTTCGTGTTAATCGGACAAACATTAGGAGTTTGGTGTGCCATTTAGGTAAAATCGGACGAATATATGTATATGTATCTGTGGGAGCTATATCGAAATCCGAACCGATTTTCACAAAACTTAACGCAGATCAGTTTAGACTCAATTTAGTACGCCATGTTAAATTTCGTGCAAATCCAAGGATATATAGGGACTTTGGTGCACTATTTACGTAAAATCGGACGAAAATATATATGGGAGCTATGTCTAAATCTGAAATGATTTTCCCAAAACTTACTACTCATAATTCTAGATTCAATTCATTGGACTATACCAAATTTCGTGCAAATCGAATGATATATAGGGACTATTATATCACTATTTACATAAAATCGGACAAAAATATATGTGGGAGATATAGGTAAATCTGAACCGATTTTCACGAAACTTAGCACACATCGTTCTAGACTTAATTTGTTACGTTATGCCAAATTTCGTGCAAATCGAAGGATATATAGGGACTTTGGTGCACCATTTACATAAAATCGGACGAAAATATATATGGAAACTATATCTAAATCTGAACCAATTTTCCCAATTTCAATAGGGTTCGTCCTTGGGCCAAATAAATGAGCTGTGCCAAATTTCATCAAATTCGAATCAAATATGCGACCTGTACTTTGTTTACAATTTAACATAGATAGACGGACGGACATACATAAATCAACTTAAAAAGTGATTCTATGCATATTCTCAAAAGGGGCCATGTGTCTATCTGGTTTCCTTTTTGTCTGTTACAAACATATGTACAAAGACATAATACCCTGTACCACAGTGTATTGAAGGGTATAAAAATAAAAAGTGGTCTTTCTTTCTTTTTATTTTTTGCCGTTACTTCACTTTTTTAAGCACAATTAAAGAAACAAATTCTTCGATTATCATTTTCCGGAAATGCCCATATATGTATTTCAATAAATTCAGTATTAATTCTTTTCAAAATTTTTGGACCGTATATTCAAAATTTCAAAAATTTTGAACCAATAATAAAATGTTATCACAAAAAAAAAACATTTAATTTCAAAACAAAAAATGTTCACGCTACATCTCCAAGCTTTGGCCAATGGCGAATTTGCCCTTTAGGGGTTTTCATTCACTCATCAAGGTCTTTCATCTCCAATAGAATTTCGTCATATGAATTTCGTATATGAAATTGAAAGAACCCATGGAAGTTATATTTTAACATTTTAGTATTTTTAACATCAAAAATTCCTGAACGGAATCTACGAAACCAAAATTGCACAAAATTGTTACAGTATCGGAACCATAAACACCATTCACAATTTTAGACGCTTGGCCTGCATTTTCGATTTTGCCAAAAAAAAAAAAAAAAGAAAAAAACTATAAAATGTACCAAATTTTCTCTTTGTTCACTTCCATTTTAACACCCTGTAACTCACAACTGAATGCACCAAACAAAAAACAGCTAAATATTTTTTTGCTGCGAAATTTCATCCTTCCAACGACCATAAATTTGAAATTGTGTAGCCATATGTCGAAAAAATAATGGATTATTCCACAACCTAATATTTGTGGAAATTAAAATAAATATTTTTACACAATAATCTATATTTAATGAATTTTTCTTTTCTATTTAAACAACTTTCCATGCAAAATATTTTCTAATCGATTTTCCCTATTTTTAGGAAAGTATCTATCCGGTACATCGAGTGATATGTGTAACTCAAAATCCACAATTAACGATCTGAGAATTAATCAAACAATATTTATTGATCTGAAAGTCCTTAGAATATAATTATTAAAAATCCTGGTTAATATTAACAATAAAACACGCTTATTGATCCGAGTTAGCGTCCTTTAAATCCACCGTTATTTATATAATGTTCTTCAATAAGGCCTTTTAAAAGTCCAAGTTTTTATCTTAATGTCCTTCAAAATTCAAATGTATCTTAATGTTTTTGAAAAATCCAAATTTATAAATGTTCTCAATTTTTTTGAGAAATATAGGATTATTGATCTTAATTTTCTTTAAATAAAATCCCCATCCACCAATCTCATTCGTATTTTTTTCTTTAAAAATCCACGTCTATTATCACCTAAAAATGTCCTTCACGTCCATTGAACTACATTGATATTTATTTACGTATTAATTAAATTTTCACATTTATTGTATATTTTATTTATTTTTTTTTACAAATCCATTTGAGAATCCCTAAATATTAACGTTTATTGATCTGATAAAAACCTTGAAAATCCGTGTTTATTATCATTAAAGTTCAATCTTTATTCATCTGACATTTCGGAACATAATTAGGGAAGTGATCGTTGGCTAGTTCTTCTTAAATCTTTCTGATTTAGAACATATAGAAAAATTAGTCTACGCAATTTTACAACACACAAATTTTTTCTCTGTAGTTTTTACTAGTACAAAACACAGTTTTGTAATAAAGAGAGGCTAACAATTTCCATTAAATTACAATGTAAATCCTTTGAGCGCCAATTTGTTTATATGAAATTTCGAAATGGTATATGTTTTGAAACTAGGCAACTTTAAAAGTTTATACATTTTAATTTTTGTTTTGCTACTCTTTCGAATAAAATACCTTCCACAAATTCTTATATAACTTCTAGATATTTTGCTATAAGAATTAATAATAATAACTATTAATGTTAATAATGATCATACTCTGTGAATATTTAAAAAAAAGTAGACCAATTTCACAATATCCTAATATTTTTGCAATTTATACCACAAAAATATGCTGATATTGTACAATTTGGTCTAATAATGAAAAAAAAAATATTTTTTTTTCTAATAGTAATATTCAACAGCAAATCCTAAGGAGAATAGACAATAACCCAAATAAAATACAAATATAAAAAAACGAGGACGTCTAACCACCACCAAGGGTGCTACATACTACGACATATTTTTAACAATAAGAAAAGTGGAAGTGAGAAAAAAACGAAAATGTACAAAAGAAAGGCTTTAATGGAAATAAATTAACAATTAAATAAAATAAAGTAAAAAGTGAACGAGTAAAAATATGCCACTAAAAAGCCATTTAGGTGATTCATACAAAAAGGAAGAATAACGACAACAACAAAAACTAAAAAACGGCGTAATAACAATAAAATTAATAAAGTTAACTAAACACCGCACAAAATGCCATAACATTTTTGTTAAATGTGGTAGAAAAATAATAATAATTTTAACAACAAGAACAACAAAATATACATTTTACAAAACACCCACACCAAATCAACAACAACAACAGTTATAACTTGGGAAAACACAGCTCATTACAACAGATGTTGTTGCAGTTCAATGGAAATTTAAGTACCTGTCTGGCATTACTATTTCTAACTTGTGAAATCAGCAATTCAAAATTGAATTTGAAACAAATTCACTCCAAAACGACAACAAAACGACCAGTAAATCCAACAACTGAAATTAACAAACAGCAGCGTTTGCATAGCTAATGGAAAAAATAGAGTGAATTTTCCCCCGAAACCATAGGTCTGGGAACAAAGCAACAAAGCAAAACCAAACATTCAACACAATTGAATTTAAATTTCAAATCAAATTGAAAAAATAAACCGCGAGAGTAACGACCAGTTGTTGCAACACCGAAACAAACAGTTTTTCGCAGAAGTATTGCAACAACAACAAAAATACACATATATTCTAAAAATTTGCAACGAAGCATATCTTAAAAAAATTGTTAATAAGAAAAGAAGAAAAAAAAAATCACATACACAACAAAACAGTATTTAGTGAAATTGTTTTTTACATTTTTTACATTCCATTAGTTTAAACAAAAACGACAACAACAACAACAAAACTACATTTCTCAGTCAGTGAATGTCGCATTGAATGTATTTTCATTTTTCAATCTGTGATCCGGTTTCAATAGAGTATTGAAACCATTATTTGCCGTTAATCCGACAACTACTCCCAGTACCTTGCAGTACGCTTATTCGTAGGCGTGTGCACATCCACAACAGTTTTTTTGCATTTGCCAGTTTTCCTTTCAAACGGTAAAAATTGCTCCCATCACCATTAACCACATCACCGATAATATCCCTTTCAAAATGCGCGTTAAAGTTGGCAAACGGTTATGGCTGCGCAAAAGGCGTTCAAAAAGGCCGGATAATTATCCACTACCAAGGTAAGTTGGATGGTTTTGTTTTTGTCATATAAAACCATAGATTTTTCAAAAAAAATATCTAATCTTTTATTTTTGATCTTATTTAATTTATAAATAATTTCAATTTGGTGAATGATATTTTGTTTTATCAGAACCTCAAGAAAGTTAGAAGAAAACACAACATAGACCATAAAGAATAGAACGAGGACAAGTCTATTTGATGATACCCTACATGTCATTTAGTATAAACCAAAAGTGTGGCGTATTATTGTAATATTTAATAAAATACACGAGAGGGCTACTATATATATTTCTGGCCTATATAACACATAGTTTTGTCTGACATTTCCATTGGAAAATTTTACATTTTTTAACACAAACTTACTCACTTCGGTTTTATGTACGACCATCTATGACTTGAAAAATCATAGTCTCTTGGCCGCAAAAAAAGGTTTGTTCTCGTTGGATCCTGTACGATTTGCCAATTGCTCAAAAAATGATCGTGCCAATTGTTGCAACGAAATCTTGAAAATGAGAATCGCGGTGTGACAAAAACTGTTTATACGATGCTCGTATGATACGAATCAGGATTTCATCAGGAATCTTTGGAGACAAGTCAAATCCAAGGAAATTTGATCACTGTAATCATAACGCCGTAATTTTCTTAACCATTGGAGAGCCAATTGGCAGGAGTTCAGAGATCGCCGTTTCAGAGAGCTCTAAAGCAGAAAGGAATATCCTCGCAATTGCAACCGCTTCATATATACCTGCGGATCAAATGCCGGAATTAAGGCCAAACATCCCAGCAGAGACATCGGGTTTATGTTTCTTTTTATTTTAATCCGAAAATCATAGAACATGTTGCGAACGTAGAGAAGAGTATTGGGTCATATATGATTTCTTCAGGCCGAGAAAATCCCTAGAAAATAACCAGGGCGATCCCGTTACTGCCGCCGGGTAATGATGCCTGCAAAGTTGTATTATACATGCTGATTTAATTTGGTCGCCAGTAGCTAAGACTCCCGAAGCATTGACAACAAACATTCGTAAATGCTACACTGTTGCTAATCATTAATACGGATTCCGGATGCACCTAATTAGGATAGCCTTTTGGAAGACGTTGAAGGAACTACCCTCCAGCTATATTTGAAACGTCAACTATGTTGAACTGTAGAGTGGAATAGAAATTGTCTCAGGATCTTTTCTTGTCTGCCACGCTCTCCGGATTAATACGTATGATATCGATTGTGTGATCGTCTGACCTAAAAATTGATAGCATCTGTAATATGTTGAACACATCTCGTGGACATATCAGAGTTTTTCATACGAGGAATATGAAAACATCCTCCACACTGTTTACCACATGGATAGCAGAAACGTGTGTGAATTTGCAGGTCGATTGGCCATAATATCGACCACAAATTGCTCCATGGCTTTAGGGGTCACATTTGATAGACTCTATAAGTTGTCCGCGCACGCCACATCTGTACTTTGGATGCTAATGAAAATACATACAGTGCGAAACTATTCGGTTTTAGTGATCTCCGCTTACATAAGTGCAACAAATGGAGAAACATTGAATCCTGCAAGAATACAGTCCTAAGGATTGTAACAGGGTGTCTCCTCATGACTCCGATGGAGACGAAGATTCTTCAACACCACAAAATGCTGTCGAAAGTATATGATTGGATGATGATAGAAGAAGCCATCTAATGGGTAGATTTCCACCGCCAAGGGATGTTAGGAAGAATCATTATGGTATAGCAGCAGCTACGGAGACAAACCAGATTGGTCTTGGCTCTACTTACATCAATTTGTGTTGGGAGCGAATTGGTGGCATGGAGCAGAATATCTGTCCCCATTTATAATTTATTTTTATATTAATCTATAGCCAGTGCATTCTAAACAATTTCCCCAAAAATATGATTAAATATTTAAAGAAATTCCATTTGTAATCAATGGTCCTTTAAATTTAAGAAGAAACACCAAATTACACACCACCCAAAAGAAAAACGGTCTAGATACTTGATAATAATACTAATGGAAATTTAATACATATGGTCTGGCAAAGGCCAATTTTGATTTATTGACTATATTTACTACCATTCGCTGTGATTATCAGGACCACAATGACATTTTAGGACATTGGAGGTCACTACATTGGAAGCCAAATAAAAAAAGAAGAAATCTCTCAATCTTTAGGACAAATACACACAAGTAATAATAACAAAGTAAATGCAAGGAGGATAAAATGAAAATAAGAACACCGTGTAGGTGGGCACGAACAATCCACAGAAGAAGAAGAAAATCCTATTAATATGATATTTATTAACCAAATACCAACACAGCAAATTGAGTTCTTATCAAGGCTGAACCAATAAAAATTATAGGTGCGACCCTTTATACATATGTATGTAGGTATATTTGCAAAACACATGTGAACGTGTTTGTGTTAATAGATTTGAGATACTATTTGTTAAGGCAGAACAAGCAGATTGTCCAAGTCCACTAATTACTTGTGTAGTTAAAGTCGTATTTATTAAATATATATTTGGAATTTATTGTTCAAATTAACATTTTTGAAGAAGGAGAAGGATTAATAATTGCAATCAGTAATAATAGTAAAACATTTAAACATCTTAACCCATAATAAACATAGGCTCCCAATACTAATATTTTTTGAGGTGAACTGTAAAAATTTCTTTACCGAACTTGTTCTGAAATTCGCTTCCGGCATATCGACCAGCTTAGTTTGGCGATGTTACAAATGTGATGGTAATATATATATATATAGTATCATTTGACTTCAAACAGTTTTTTTATTACTCTGTGATAGGCATTTATGATATCATAACATCACAATATTTATTTTAGCTTACGCCGCCATAACCTTATTAACCTCAAACTATAACAAACGAAAAGAGAATATCGATCATAGCCATCACAAAAGAATTTTTGTACCTTTGACCTATTTCATAGTCACTATTAATAATAGTTAAATATTAGTGACAAAAAAGTTGCGTGCAACGATTTGAATTTATCATATTTTCGCATGTCACACATTTGTCTTCCTCGTGAATACACAAACTGCCAACCAACCCGCTCGCTCACACTATATCAAAATGCAGAATTTTTGACAGATAACAAATTATTTGCACTGTCACTTGAAATTTAAACTATAATAATGATAACATAAAAGTAGATGGGTTATGACGTTAAGGTTTCCCTGTGGCAACATACATTTATGGTAGAATATGTCACTTACTGGATTTAAAATAAAATTATTTTTGGTTTTTCAATCGCTCATAAATTTAATGCGGGAAAGGGGATCTGGCCAACTAATTAGAATTGTTGTCTGTTAACAGAGACATTTTTGTGAAAAATAAGAACATTTTTAATTAACAGTAGATTTACGGCTGGATGGTATAGTTCCTAGTTTTACGGAAGTGAGCTAATTTGGCTCATGTAAGAAAATTTAATTTTTTTTTTGCGAAGAAAACTGTTCCAAATTAATTTATATGAAATATTTATTATCAAAGTACTCATAGAAAACATATTTTACATATAAACTCTATGTTTATATGTAAAATAAAGGCTGATGGTATAGCCTTAAGGCTATAATGTCTGTCCGACACGATAACTCTCGAAAGGAGTTACAGATTTAATCCAAATTTTGAACATCGTAATATTTCTTCCGAACCTAAATCATGTTCGATGATAAAGAATATCAGACTACTCCTTCCAGTAAAATTGATGCTGAATTTGTGCGGTTTATCCGACATGTACTGCGCAAATCGCATCTAGCTTTAGTAGGGAATAATTCTTCATCGATAGTTATGTTTACGCCAGGTTTGTAACATGCCTGACTTCACTTCAAAATTATCAGTCTTTTGTCTTTGAGTGCGTTCGTTTTTTTTATCAAAACGTATGAACCGAAGTATTTCTAAAAAATTTTGTCCCTAGGCATTGTCTGGGCGAAAAAGGGCGGAACCCACTTTGCAGACCATAAATATGAACACTTCAAATTTTTAGCCTCATATGTTCCTCTAGCAAATAAAATTGCTATAAATGCAACAATTGTGATTTTGCAACCATCCACTCTTAGTTATTCAATACCTTACGAGCTTCGAGCTCGGTACATGATTTTATATACGCCATCATACCTTCGTCAAATATCAACATGAATGCGCTATTTGCTCAACCATGCATAATATGCCTTTTTGCATAGGATGTTGGACCTTGAACGTCTTTGAATATGGTATAACTCGGTGATCTACCTACGTTTTTGCCTTCGTTGGATGTGTTCCATCAGCTGATATTTCGTTATCAAGAGATGTATCAATTACTTCAAAGTCATCTTCGATTTCAGAAGATATAATCTCCTCCTTCACTGCTTGCAGATTCCACTTCATTTTCAAGTTGGTCGATATCAATTATATCCGACTCATTATTTGATTGGTCTTTCTTTATTTGTATTAGTTTATTCCACAAAAGATAATTTTTCTGATTTCGTTTCATGATAAAAAATCGATTTAATCCGAAATTGCAAACTATATATTACTTCAATGCAATGCAAACACCAAATAACTGGTAAAACATTGCATGAGCCAATTTGGCTCTCTACCGTAAAAGTAGGAATACCACATTCGAATCTTCAAAATGAAGGGCTCTGCGGGTAAGATGATGGAACGTTTTATATATTCTATCAATTAACTAAAAACCAAAACAATTTTTTAAAAATAATTATTTACGTGAAAAGATATACAGTGGTCAAATTTGAAATAAGCCAAATTGGCTCACTCCGTAAATCTAGTGTTAACTCGAAAATATAATTCGGAATAGATGCCAGGGTAGACAGAGGAGCTGTTGACCTCTAATCGGTTAACAGGTTGTAAATATGACAGGTTCGGAATATAAGTTCACAGAAAGTTAAAGTTCAGTGGTAGTTGTGTATGGTCGACCCCGTTTGACTATACTGCCCCGCTCAGTGTTTTTTTGATAACTACCTGGAAATGTCATTT